ACCTGTCAGCAGCAAAGGACTTCACTAGAAAACTGCACAACTGGAGTAATCCTCACCGACACGCCAACCGACTCCTCTCCACAACTCTACTGCTCTAAGCGCAGTTGCGCTCTCCAACCACCTAGTTCACCACAACTCAGCACTCCTCAGACATCTGTCAGACCTGTCAGCCAATTCCGGCCACACTTCAAGGTGCTACCTCCGCAATGACATCTCCCACCCCACATGACTCTGCCATCAGCAAGTTCTTGGCGAATACGATCCAGCTTGGCCTCCTAGCTCTAGGCAGATCAGTGGACCCTTCTATACTCCAGCTCCTGGTGGACAATGTCATCTCTGCCTTACTCACGACGACACACCCTCTCCCTCGACCGCAAAAAGAATCCACTGAACCACAAGAAGCCACTCCTGCTACTTCTGCGGAATCTATGAACGACACTTTCTGACATCCGACAACTTTCCACCCTCTACCACAACCTTCAACTTCAGGACCAATCAATCCTACGGCCAAGCGGCAGCCATCTCAATCCTCTAAGTGGTCATTCCTGTGGTAGACACCTCCAGCTCTACTCTCATGACAACCACAAAGAATCTGCCAACTACCAACTTTCAGCCCACACACCGTCAACATATCCCACAAATGGATAGTACTACAGTTCTTTCAACGTCTTCACCCTTACGCATCCTACAATGGAACATTCTTGGATTAAAAGCCAATCTTGCCACCCTTCTAACAGCCAACGCAGAGGATCCTTTTGACATCCTTGTTCTACAAGAAACCCTACTCTCTGAAACAAGCACATGTAATATCAAGAATTACAATGCTTTTCACTCTTACTATATGCCTGGACAAAACAGGGGTATATCCATATTTACCAAGAACTCCCTCCACACTCAGCTGATTACACCTGCACCAGAATGTGGAGCCCGTATCGAATGTCTTGGCATTCAGATCTCTTTAAACGAATCCAACTTATTCCTTTCAATATACCCCCCACATCCTACCTGCGAATTAGAGATGGATGAACTGTTCGATTAGCTGCACATGAACCCATCATACTAGGCGACTTCAATGCTCACCACCCAAACTGGAATGACCCCACCACCCTCAGCTTACAAAACAAATGATGCAGGGCTACACACATCAAGCTCCTTCTAGATTCCTTCCCAGATGTTTCCCTTTTGAACTCCAAACAAGCTACGCACACCAAAGGAGGAGTCTTAGACTTGACCATCCTCTCCAACTCTTTAGTATCGACTGCAGACTGGTCCTTTCACCCCTACCTATGTCAGACCACCCTAGCCACCTTCACCACTCTACAGCTACCACGCCTACCACTTCCTCCACCTGTCCCAAGATGGAACCTAAAAAAAGCTAACTGGGCGCACTTCACTAAGCTCTTAGAGGACTGGGCAGAGAGATACACTCCTGCAAATAACCTTCACCAATTAGAGCAGGATTTTATTGATGCTATTAAGGCAGCAGCAGATATCAATACCCAAAATAAATCACACATATCATGCGCATAAGGACAGTTGGTTTACAATACACGAGTCCGGGAATTAAAGCGCAGACTGCGCTTGTTCAGAAACCTCCTTAAAAAAACCAACTCCCCAGATATCCATGAATCCTTCAAAACCCTGAGGAGGTTAGTTAATCATGAGCTCCTCGATATCAGAAACAAAGCCTGGCTCACTTGGTGTGAAAACATCTCTGCCCACACACCTCTCCGAGAATTATGGGGTAAACTCCGTGCAGCATCTGGAGCAAAAACACTGAAGTCCTCCATACACCCAGAGCCTCTCCAAGAAGCCAATAGATTAGGTGCAACATTTGCAGAAAGATGCGCTTCAGCTCAACTGCCACCCAACATCTCTAGAAAATTACAACTCCAGACAATACGTCAACAGACAATCACAACGGCCATTAATACTAACGCTACAAGCGATGCTCCTTTCACCAAACAAGAATTATCACAGGCCATTGTCAACAAAAGAGACACTGCACCTGGAGAGGACAAAGTCCCTACTCATTCCTTAGCCATTTAGGCCCCAAATGCAAAAGTACATTACTCAAAATTTTTAATAAATCATTACAAGATGGCACATTACCAAGGAATTGGAAGCAAGCTATAATTCAGCCCATTCCCAAGAAAGAATCAAACTCCTTCAGGCCAATCTCCCTCCTGTCTTGTGTAGGGAAATCCATGGAGAGAGCCGTACTCAACAGACTTCAACACATCATTCCTAAATTCCACCGCATATCTATGCATACCAGAAAGGTGCAGGCACAGGAGACATCATCACTCTCCTTTCCCTTCTAGATGGAAAGGACAGTATTGTAGTATTTCTGGACCTCGAAAAAGCTTTTGAACTCGCCAACAAAGATGCCATCCTTTCTTCATTAGCAGAGAAAGGCCTGAAGGGTAAACTCCTCTGCTGGCTACAGGACTACCTGACCGACAGGCGTGCTAAAATCAGATTCCAGGGTCATCTGTCCAACTCTTACAACTTTGAGAATGGAACCCCTCAGGGAGGTCTCCTAAGTCCATTCCTTTTCAACATCATGGTTTCCAACTTAATGACAATCCACTTCCCAGCAAATGTACACTTGTTAGCATATGCTGATGACATACAACTCGTGGCCACAGGTCCAAACCGACATATCAATGCCCAATCAGCACTTGACGCAATTGAAGCAAAAAGCAAAGAACTGGGACTCAAAGTTAACCCCGACAAATCTAAAGCACTCCAGGTAAACAGGATAGTTGCATATCACCAACTCTATATTGGCAACATACCACTTGAGTGGGTCCCATCCTATAAATGCCTCGGCATCTTCTTCAACTCCAAACTTTCAGCTACCACACACCTTCGTTTCCTATTAAGAAGCACACAGTCCCGCTTAAATGTTCTACGAAGACTCACATCCTCCAAATTAGGCGCTGGGTTCAAGGTATTACGCCTCTTCTACACACATGCCATAAGATCCTTAGTTGATTACAGCGCACCAGCACTCCTGACTTTAAAACCTGATCAACTAGCTTCCCTGGAAACAATACAGAACCGAGCCATGAGGACCATCCTTGCTGCACCTACATGGACAAGGCTTGCCAATCTTCGAGTAGAAACATATTTAACATCTCTCCATAATAGGACTCAGCAACTGTCCGTTAGTCTCTGCTCGAAAATTATAACATCAACAAGACCTTCCCCCTTGAAGTCAATCAACCATCTACTCAACAACCAAGAACTATGCCACAGTGCAAGATGGCACGGCCAGTTAGTAAAGGCATTCCACTCCTTAAACACCCTTCAAATATTAACCGCAAGAGGCATAGATAGTGTGCACCCACACTATCAACCTAATCCACCATGGAGAGACTGGGAAGCAAATATCCGAACCGATACCATTCCCACCAAGAAAGCTCTCTGCACTCCGGCCATGATTGCTCAACTGGAGGCAAATATAGCTTCACTCAGACAACCAGAAGCTCTCTTACTATTCACTGACGGCTCGGTCGATCAAACAAATGGCAAAGCAGGAGCAGCCTTTATTACCAACGGAACCAGTGTTGCACGTCGAGTCTCAAATGGAGCTTCCACTCTACAAACAGAATTATATGCCATCAAAATGGCACTAAAATATGCACTGTATCAAACACATTCAACCATCCACATATTCACAGACTCCCTCTCAGCCTTACAGGTTCTAAGGAGAACCCAAGCCACAGACAACTTAAGGCTTATCTCAACAGTCCTGTTCCATATACGACAACTAAAAGAACAGGAGAAAATCCTAACTTTCTGGTGGATACCAAGCCATGTCAATATCACAGGCAACGATTTAGCTGACACTGCTGCTAAAAACAGCCTCAAGAACCTCTTAGTCACAGGCCACATTCCTCCAAGCCTCAGCCAGCTGAAGAAGCACGTACGGAGAGCCGCTTACGAAACTCTCCTCATCGAGCACCGTGCATGGGTCATTGCAGGCTCACCATCCGCAAGCTGGTACAAGATAGTTACTGAATGCAATCCCCCCTTCCTTGTCAACAACCTCTCACGAAACACCGCTGCCATCTTTCACAGACTTCGCTTGGGTTACCGCTGCAATTGGGAGATTGACATGCGGTTCCCAAGCCTTGTACATTGTGCGACACAATCACTCAAGACCCCTGATACACTACGTACTACTGCCCAAGCATCCAACATCTCCGACCCAGGAAATTCCACAGCAACAACCGACAAGATGAAAGCCACTTTGCATCTACAGCTGCCAGATGCCTAGTGGAAATGCTCAGTCTCCCAGACTCACTATTAGTCTTCACCAGAGACCCTCCTCCTAGATGATATTATAGTACTACTGCTACCAAAAAAAAAAAAAAAAAAAAAAAAAAAAAAAAAAAAAAAAAAAAAAATAAAAAAAAAAAAAAAAAAAAATCATATATCTCATGTCTATCACGACAGATAGCCATCACCACCACTTCTCCAGTTACTCTTCCGGGTGGCATACGCGTAACCCGGGCTAGTCATGCCGCACTCCTCATTCTTGCATGGCTAGCGAATGTAACAACAACAACAACAACAACGAGGTGGAATCATCATTCGCCACACGACTTCTGACCTGACATTACTTGTGCTTGGCTCATTAACAATAAAGAGATAAAATCCAGTTTGGTTTTTAATTTCTACAATACGTTATCACATGAAGTTATATAGAGTCTTGACGGACTCGCCTCTGCTATTATCATGATCTAGGACAGTGTTCTACCCTTTACTACCTTCTTGTACCGTTACGTACCCCCTCCCCCGTCCACCATGGCTAAACAAACTGTTTTATAATGCAACTAATATACTAATTATGAAAAGACTGCATTGCAGGAGTGTTTGTCAATAAATTCGAATTTAATAAACGAATAAAAACGATGCTTTAATAACAAAATGCTTTAGAAATACACAACTTGTGTATGTATGTTATTACTGCTTAGAATATCACCGTCTGCCAGTCTTTCTATTTTTCTTTTCATTTTATCTGCTTCTCTCTCTCTCTGCTTTACAAAGGAAGGAACAGGAAAACACACAAATATGTCCTAGACCTTTTTGCTATATTGCTTCTACATGCCTCGAAGAAGCAATTTACCCAAAAGGCCTTCGACACTTTTTTTTTTTTTTTTGTTCTTGCCTTATTGTTGTTGTTACTATTTTACTGCTATCATTATTAGTATTATTATTATTATTAGTAATAGTACCAATATCATTATTTTTTTATTATTATAGCTATTGTCATTATCATCATTATTCTTCTCAATATTATTCTTATTATCATGATTATTAGTTTAATCATAATAATTATCATTATCATTATCATCGTCACCATCATCATCATCACTGTTGTCGTAATAATGGTAAAAATAATGGCTATTATTATCATTATTATCATTTGATATTATTATTGATTTTAAGATTGTCATTATTATTAATATATATCAGCATCACTATAATTATTATTGTTATTTTCATTATTATCATTATTGTTATTATTCTTATTTTCATTATTATTATCCTTTTTATCATAGTAACGTTTATTATTATCATCTTAGCATCATGATTATCATCACTATCATTATTATTACTACTATAATAATAGTAATAGTAATAAAAATGATACTGATGATAATAATCATTTTTGCTATCTTTATTCTCATTTTCATTATTATTATTATCTTTATTATCGTTATTACCATTAACATGATTTCACCTTTCTTATTTTTGTAATTATTGTTATTGCTATTGTTATTAGTAGTAGTATTGCTTTATCATTATCATTATTGCTATTTCTATTTCCTTTATCATTATCATCATCACCATCACCATCAGTAACATTGTCATTATTATTATTGTTATCATTATAATCATTATGATCCCCATTGTCATTTATTATCATTATTACTTTTATTAATATATCTACAATAAAAATAACTACAGTGTTATCATTATTTTTATAGCATCATTGTTCTTACGATAATCCGCACCACCGCTGATATTAACGCTAATTATCTTTTATTATAATAGATAATAGTAATAATATTACCATCATCATAATCGCTATACTCTTTGTATGTTCAGCTTAAGCTTAGCCAGAGCCGAGCTCATCCGACGTCTTGTAATCAGTGACAGGATGGTATTAATGGCAAAGGACTTTTGGGAAAGAGCAGAAAGATCGTTGGTGTAAACATATCAGAGAGAAAAGGTCTTTGCACGCAACATGATTACCCTTTGCTGAGTTTCCGTTAACCCTTTGCTCAGTCTCCGTTTACTGACTACTGACGGCGGTTTTAAGGGTTTGTCGTCTAGTAATTCCTTCTCTTGTCTGCCAATTATCGTATTTTTTCCATTGTGGCTTTGGGTAACTCAAAGGCAGCTTTGAATCATGGAGTGCAGACCTTTGCGTTTAATTCCAACTAGATGGCAGAAACATTTCCTGAAAATCAGCAGAATGTTTCTTAAGAAAAGCTGAGCTGTTAAGCCAAAAGAGGATTCATAGTAAAGTTCTCGACATGAATTCCTCAAGCAGTTCATTCACAATCATAGTTTAACTTGTGGTGCTCATAAATCTTATTTCTGATGCGGTATTTTCCATTGATGAGAGGTGCAACATTGTTGTTTCAAAAGTCCGATCACTTCTCTAAACAGAATAGAAAAAACTAGGTAAATGTTGGATAGAAATTGTCATAATTGGTAGTAACATCTCTCACTTACCAAATAACCATTTCAATACCAAACACCCAAAAGTTGGGCCTGGAGTGATAATATTTTTAATGATATTAAAACTGGCAGCGGTTCAGGTGTTAGCTCTGGATTAGGGACACTCATTTTAAGAGAAAATGGCCTGTCATTAATTCAGCTTTCCTCACATATTGGTGAGGGTCGATAAGAGTTCCTGTTATCGCGTTCTTTGCATCCTTTACTTCATATCTTTAAATTATATTTGGTATTCAATTCTCACAGGCGAATAGACAGTTGGTAAGGTAAGAAAAGTTCCTCTATGCAAAGTTTCCATTATCAGTGAGTTATGTGGGTTTTAGTATTAAGTGATTGGCAAGATGGATATTAGACGTCACTTCCCATTTTGTTACTTGGTGGCAGAGAACAAGCAAACTTGAGTTTAGTGAATCGTGCCAGTGTCCTCTGAGTACTTTGGTTGGCCAGAAAACCTTTCCCGGCAATCGCGGAAAGGATTATACTGGTCATTAAAAATAAGACAAATTGCTCTGAATAATCGCCAATTATTGTAAGATGTACGGTACATTGGCTGTTGCTGTGTTGCTTACGCTGATATATTGGCTACTTGTATAAGTGTAGTGCTCTGTAGTAGGCCACCACTGTCAGCAATTAGTTTAGAATCATTAGAATTAATAGTTCGCCATTTGACATTAATATTTGTATCTTCATATCTTCTAGGTCACTCACTGTTTATCTGCATGACATTGTGCTACGAAATCGCAATTCAGGTGAAGAACATAAAGTATTTAGAAATTGTCTGAAGTCAGTCTCTCTCTCTCTCTCTCTCTCTCTCTCTCTCTCTCTCTCTCTCTCTCTCTCTCTCTCTCTCCTCTCTCTCTCTCTCTCTCTCTTTGTGACGAAATCGAGAGAAATCAAGTAAAGAAAACAAAAAATCAAACTGTATATGTACTGTACATGCTGATGAAAACTATGTAAGGGTAAAACCGAATAGAGTCAGTCGGTTTATGAGCATTAGATAAGGGTATAGTTGTTGCTAGACATTCAGACAAATGAACAAGGCAAAGGGGGGAAGAGTGCAGGCTGACAGGATCATATACTTTGGAACACTATATCCTACATTTCTTCATTTCATACTTAAGTATGATTGAACCCCGCTTAAGCTACACTTTTTTTTCTTTTTTAGAAATGGATGCATAAAGGAATATAAAAGAGATACGCGAATATAATTACATAATTGTTGTCATATGTCCATGTTTGTGACCTGAAGTTTGTTAAGGAGAGATTACTATGAGGAGAGTAAAGAAAGATACTGTTGATTCGTTCATTGGAGAAAAAAAATCCCAGTAAACTTGTCAGGTCAAACAGGACAAAAGTTCTCTCTCTTATATTATTTATACTATGAAGAAATGTGTGGGTCAATGTCTGTTTCCCCTCTCTTCTCTCTCTCTCTTCTCTCTCTTCTCTCTCTCTCTCTCTCTCTCTCTCTCTCTCTCTCTCTCTCTCTCTTCTCTCTCTCTCTCTGGTAATAATGGAAATGTTTTATTTATACTATGAAGAAATGTGTGGGTCAATGTCTGTTTCCCCTCTCTCTCTTCCTTCTCTCTATCTGTATGTGTCGTTTATTTTTCACTTGCATCCTTCACTCTCTCTCTCTCTCTCCTTCCTTCCATCTCTCACCCCCCCCCCGTCTCTTTCTCCCGTCTCCCCCCCCCTTTCTCCTTCCCTCCCTCCATCCCTAATTCTGATGATGACGATGTGGTTGTGGTGGTGATGGCAATGCTGGAGATACTGATAATGATAATGATAATGATGATAATGAAAGTATTTAGTTATTTATATTACGAGCCAAAGTGTATGCTTGTCTCCCCCTCTTTTTCCTTTCTCTCTTTCACCCTCCCTCTCTGCTTCCATTACTCCTTCCGTCTCCCTCTCTCCCTTTTTTCCCCTCCCTCTCCCCTTCTCACCTTCTCCGGAGATCTGAAATGAAATGAAAAGAAGTATTTGCACATGAAGACATCAGTGGAATTTCTTCATTTGCATGCATTAGCGCCTTTCATATGCGGCGGAATGGAGGCGCTGAAGGCAGTGCCGGAGGCATTCTTTGAGCGCAACAAAACTCATTTGCAGCCGTTATTATATGTGCTTCATGTTCACTCAGACGTTCACATATGTATGGGAAATTTGTAAAGGCTACCTATGTGTGTATGCCAAGTACACAACACACACACACACACACACACACACACACACACACACACACACACAACACACACACACACACACACACACACACACACACACACACACAGATATATAATATATATATATATATATATATATATATATATATTATATAAATATATATAATATATAATATATATATATATATATATATATATATATATATATATATATTATATATTATATATATATATATATATATATATATATATATATATATATATAACATATATATGTACAATAATATAATATTATATATATATATATATGTATATATATATATATATATATATATATATATAT